TGATACATCAATAGAAGGCATGCTTACTTCGGGCAATTTAAATTTGCCACCCTCTCCCTTGATGTCCAAGTCAGGGCCTTCGATTTTTCCTTTAGGCAGAGATATGTCAACATGTGGCATTTTCATGTCAGGCATTTTAAACTTTCCTCCAGCATCTCCTTCTAATTCGACTTCTGGTCCTTCAATCTTTCCCTTTCCTTTTGGAAGTGAAATGTCAACAGATGGCATGCTAAGATGTGGCAAGTTGAAATTTCTGTCTCCATCTCCCTTGAGCTCTACATCTGGACCTTCAAGTTTTACCTTGGGTAGTGAGATATCGATGTCTGGCATTCTCTTGTGAGGAATTTCAAATTTTCCACCAGCATCTCCTTCTAATTTAACTTCTGGTCCTTCAATCTTTTCTTTTCCTTTTGTAAGTGAAATGTCACCTGATGCACTATTAACTTGGGTTGTTTTTAATTTTCCACCACCTCCTTTGAGTTTAACATTTGGACCTTCAAATTTTACTTTCGTTTGAGAAACGTCAACATCAGGCATCTTTGGAGAAGAAACACATTGTTCTGTTTCTACATGTGGTCTGTTTAGGGATACATGTCCTTTGGACCCTTGCTTGGATACCAACAAATCCTTTGCCTTTGACTTTGAAGTAAATCGAGGAAATGTAAAACTTGGCATCTTTAGAGAGACATCAGGTAGCTCAAAGCTTCCAATTGAAGATGGCCTGCTTTTTTGGGCTTTTACGAGTGGGACCTCCAAATCATTGCCTCTTGATTTTTTGAGACCAAAGTCTAAATCAACACCTGGAGCTGTTAAGTCTTTGCCTTTAGTTTTTAACTTGTTTGTTCTGGATTGTGGAGAAATATCAATATCTGGCATTTCTATTATCTTTCCCTTAACGTCTGGACCTTTTTGTAAAGAAAGATCAATGTTTTGCATTTTGAATTTGCTTTGTTTAGCATTCAGATCCAGGTCACCACTGGCTTTTTCTTTAGGGAGTGAAATGTCAATAGGTTGGATGCTTACCTTTTGCCCACTAATATCTGGGACTTTAAGGCCAACATCTACATTTTGGAACTTCCTATCTTTGACAGTCCCTTCTTCAAAATGTATGCTTGGTAATGCAATATTAGGCTGTGGTGTTTTAATTTCAAGGAACCTGCCCTTTGTGTCAGTAAGTCCCTCAATTTCTAAACTGTCTTTTATGCCAGACTTTGAAACATCAATAGTGTACTTTTCCTGAACATGAGGTCCTTCCAAATTTATAGTGCCACCTGGTAAGGACATCTCTGGAAGTGAAACATCAAGTTTTGGCCGTTTTATTATAATTTCTCCAGATGACTTTCCTTTGGAAAGATCTGGTATCTCAACATTTTCCCCAATGTCATGGACTTTTATATCACCCTGGGGCAGGTTTACATTAGGCAATGGAGCTTTAGGCAACTTAATGTCTCCCTTCACTTCTTCTAATGTTAGGTCAACTTCTGGTGACTTTGATGCTGGGATAATTTTGTCAAAACTTGGCATTTTGAATTCCCCATTACCTCCAATGTAATATTCCATATCCACATTTTCACAATCTGATTTGTTCATAGAAGGAACAATGTCATCAAAAGTTGTAGTTGGTAATGAGGCACCGGCTGTATGCAGTTGAATTTTTGGACCTTTAAAGGACCCCTCAAATTCATCAGGTAGTCTATGTTGGTTATCCTTCTGCAAATCAACATTAGCCTTAGAAATGTCAACTGTAGGAAACTGAATTGTGTTTTTTCCTGCTTTGTGGTATTCTAAAATAGAAACTGATGTGTCTGGCTTTCCATCAATAGTTGTTGACATTTCAATAGATGCACTTTTGGTGTTAGGGGATGTAATATTGGCTTCAGGTAGATTAATCTTTCCATCACCTTTGACTTCTAGTTTTGGAGGTATTATGTCAACACTGGGCATTTTCACTTCGCCAGCCTTTGAACTGATGTCGCCATCTATTTGATCTGAATTATGGGAGAGTCTAACTTTGGGTAATTTCAATTTTGGAATTCTGAGCTTTGCATCTTCTTTACCATTGTCTACACCTTCTTTTCCCACAGCTGCATCACCTCCTGCTTGAATATCAAGTTTTGGTGATTTTATTTCGGATTTTCCTTTTACAACTGGCAAGGATGTCTTGGCTGAAGAAATTACAGTGTCCTCAGTAGATACTTTAATCTTTGTTCTTCTCTCAAGTAATGGTGGTTGGATGCTTATATCAGGAGATTTCAGCTCCACAGATTCACCCTCTAGAACTGATCCTGATTTTCTGTGTTTTGCTTTGGGAATGTTGACTCCATACTTGTCTTTTGTTTGTATTTTTGCTTCAGGTAGCTCAGATGCAGAGGTATTCACCTGTATCTCAAGTTGTCCTGTCTTCAATTTACTTTCTTTTGATTTCAAATTGGGGAACCTGTATGGTCAAAGAAAAATCCTGTAGTTGGCACAAATAGGCTACATGCGTTACAAAGCTCTTCAAATAAATAAACAATCAATAAACTTGGCCAACCTGATCTTCTTCTTTACTTGTCCCACAGCTACCCCATCTCCTTCTTCTTCTATTTTGACCTTTGCACTTGACTTTTGTTTCAATTTTGGAAGGGCAAACTCTACATCCACATCACTCATCTCGAGCCGGGGAGGTGTCCCTTCTATAACCAACTCCTCCTTATGTTTTTCTTTCAGCCTCTTCAAACCAAAACGTCCACCTCTTTTCTTCTTGGTCTTGAATGGCTTCGTTCCCTTTACACTCTGTAATGTAAAAAAAGGTGAAGGTGCAGCACACAGACATTGTGTTTGTGTTTGAAGATGGATGGTATTATAGAAGATGGTCTTTCCACATTTTATTGTTACATCTTACAGTGAACACATTTGAGGTTTATTTCAATGTTTAACAAACATACTCTGTAAAATATACAGAGAAAAATTAAATATGTTATTAATTACCACTTTGGCCACCTTGGCCTGGGTACCTTTGACCTCCAAGCTGGGAACTCGAGGGCGCACTGTGACGTCTGCTTCTGGAACTGTTCTCTTCACTTGGAAGCTGACCTTGTATGGCTCTGCGCACTGCAGGATCTTCAGAGCATCCTCATATCTTACGTTGTCGAAGTACACCTTTGCACTCAGCAGCTGGTCACCTTTCAGAAAAACACATGGTGATTTTGTGAATACATTGACAGCAATGATCAAAGGAGTTCATAAAACTTCTCAGACGTTTCATATAAGTGTGTAATCATCTAACATTCAAGAGTATTGAATGATGATATCTATGGAGAATTATGAAGTTTTTGTGTTATTTTTTTGGATTCTTGCAGTAGTATTCCTTCTGAGTGGCTTTACTATTCCTGCCAGTGATATTTGGTCCCTTAAGTAGTGTGTCATTGCATGTACCTTGCTGTAGACTGAGATGTTTTGCAGCAGGAGAATCTTTGAGCACATCTTTAACAAAAATCCCTTTTTCTCCTCCTCCAGTTACACTGTAACCACTGGCCCCAGCCCCTGCCTCTGTCTCCACCACAACCTCCATGGACTTGGAGAGATCCTCTACATTCTGCAACAAAAAGGTGTTATAACAACAATAATAACAACGACAACATCAACAACATCATCAACAGATGTATAAAGATGCACGTTTAAGTATTACTTTTGGACTTTAACTTAAGTAAATTCAAATGAAATAAAATAATGAAATTACTATTAGAAAAGGCAATGATTTTTAAAGTCATCTTCCATTCTCATGTAAATAAGTGTTATTTCATACATTTGGTTCAGTGCATCTCAACTTTCTATTTTGTGTTACACAATAATGTTTTGGGTTTAGTGAAGTTTATTTTCTATAAATGTCAATGTTAATGGATTGTAACTTACTGTCTGTTTTTCTGTAGGATCTGAATCCATCTCTGGTTTGGCCAGTTGGCAGGTAGACTCTTTTAACTTACTTCTCTTCTGACTCAGAACCTGTTTCAGCTCAGCATAAAGTTTCTCCTTCTGTACCTGTAGGCAGCACCATTACCAGAAGATAAGACAGTTGGTACTGTCCACATGACAACTCTTTTTACTACTGTATTCGCACCAGCCATCTACAGTGCCCTCTAGTGACTGTCAGTGTGAAAATAACGAACGTGAAATTATATATTTTAATACATACGTCACACCTGAGTATTATTTGCAAACCAAGCCAAAGGATGACAATAGGTGCGACCTATAGTCCAGAAAATACGGTAGTAATGTTTTAATAAGCAAAATATTTCGGCCAGCTCATAATCAGCCTCATCGTTATCATTGATAATGGTCATTGTCTAAGGGATAGTACAAATGCCTTAAACCTTGAGTGTGTGTGTGTGTGTGTGTGTGTGTGTGAGGCTCACTGCTCTCTCAGGGCTGTCCTGTTCTTCTGTGTAGCTGCTGCGGTGAGGGTTGCGTTGCGGGCAGTCGAGGGATCTTTTAGAGAGAAACGATGAACGGCGGTTGTCTTTCACCTGTGTGTAGAGGAGAGTCTTGTTGGAGGTTGGAGGCATTGAATGTTATAATCAGTGATGTGAACTGTCTGAAACTGTTGAAACACCCACTGACATTCACACTTTTCAGTGTCTTCCTGTCCAATGAAGCTGCTCAGTAGGAGAGAGCTGTTGATCTCTGGTTCAAATGTATGTCTATTCTTCTGCAGTTATCTTAAGGGAATACAGGCTGCAGATGAGTTTTCATCTGAGCTGCTGTATATGTGTTCATATGTTCCCTCATTATCAGTTTTCATTCAGTAAAACTGAGAGCTTTGTTGTCCTTCCACAGATGGTTGACAGCTTCATTAATTTGTCTGGGATTGAATTTTTTTTACAATTTATTATACTTTTGGTTCAAGGTTCCTGCAGAATAATATGCAAAGAAAAACAAAACGGTCTCTTCTGTTGACTGACTATTGATCCTTGCTGATTTTTGGACTAATTACCTCCCCAGAGGAGGAGGTGTTTTTAGCTTTGTCTGTTTGTTTGCTTCTCTTTGAGTTTATAAGTAGAACCTTTATTGTAAAAAAATAAACGTTATGATTGCTTTTAAACGAAGAGCTGTTAGGACTCACACTAAATATTTTATATTTCAAGAGCTGTTAGGACTCACACTAAATATAAAATTTAACTGGAGACCACCAACACTGTGAGAACCTGGACGACTGTTCAGATGTTTTGGAACATTAAACTGAACTCTTGTCAAGTTCATTCTCCTTTTACCTTCTTTCTAGAGGAAACAAGTCACGTCCCATTCCCTCATATCTCCTTCCTCCTGTCTTCTATGTACGCACTCACATACTTTTATAAACATCCTGTCCTGACTCTTTACCTTTTGGTCAGGCCACTCTGACCTTTCCCCGTGTACCAAACAAAAATTTCCACTGCTCACTGAGATTCCGGGAATAATAATTTGCCAGGATCATTTTTCATCTTTAAACAGGGGTTAGTGTTCAGCTGATAATAGGAACTACTTTTTATCACTCACTTCAAAATGTGAATAATACTGTATTATGTTGTCAATAATGCAGTTAATGTTATAATAGGAAAACAACTGAGTGACAAGTGTCACAGCCTTGACATACAGAGTATTAATTACATTACAATTACATTCATTGTACCCATTAGAAAGGAAAAAATTGATTGTATGATCATGATGTAGAGCTGTGTGTTCACTTACGCCTGATTCCCTGGTCTGACTGGAATCATTGTTGTCTTCTTCTGTGTCAGAGTCTGGAATAGGTTAAAAAAATATATTAGGAAGAGAAACCAATAGAGAGACCTTAATATGACTTGTACATAAACACATGTGACAATCACCTTAAGATGAAAGTGACTGTATCAAAGGGTTCAGGTCAATAAAGATAAAGATAAAGATATAATAAAGATAATAGATAAATGACAAAACAGAGCTTGGACCAGAACAGGCCTGTATCAGATGACAGTAAATTAGTCTGATTGACATTCTCTACAGCGTGGTGTATCAGATGTTCATGTCAGCGTTTGGAATCTACACATCTGATATGTCAGCATGGCCGTGAGTCTCAGGCTTCTGGAATTCTTGAGATTCTTTCCATATTCTTGGTCAAGACCTTGCAGCAGCAACCAGAGGCCAAACCAGCTGGTATACAGTGGTGTAACTGTGACCTGACAGAGTCAGAGTCAGGAATGCATGGAATGCAATTTAAAAAAGAAACGGCCATAGAACGATAAAGAGATTTAGATGAATGTACACAGCCTTAATTAAAATAAGTTCTAATCCTGATCATTGGACACAAGGGTGGACATTTGGAAGGCACCGTCTTGCTCTGTCTGGCCTTATCTCTTTAGACTTCTGTTTAGTCTGTCCAGCTCTTTCACTAGTCATTACAGTTTTCCTATAACCTATATTACTTCCCCATCGTTTCCTCTGCTTCATAACAAATTATTTATCAAACAGCAGGTCACTGACATTTTAGCATCTTAACACAGTTATTTATTATAACTTATCACTGAATCACTCCCAATATGACGTGGTGGGTAAAAAGTATTTGTTGTAGTTTTCTTTGAAGGTTTTACATGCAATCATTAATACTTTACGTCTGTTTTACTGTGTTTAAAGTCACATTAGAAGCACAAAACTAAGCTGGCAGAAGGAGAGAGGCAGGTTTACACCAGCTCAAAAAACTAGTCAGAACAGGTTATTATACAAACCTATTGTCATATATGAATTGTTATAGTACAAACTGTAGTACTAACACAGTACTATCCCCTAAATACCTATGGTCCTAGCAGTACACCAACACATACTGTAAGCAGGAAAAGGATAAGCAGTATGATTAAGGCTGTTATAAAATTAGCAACAGTTGAAAGGACAGCATGAGGACATGCATTAGTATCTGTTCCTGGCATCTGTGTTACTCAGCATCGGCCCTGACAGATGTATTAGTATGAAAAAAGTTGTAGAAAACAAAATCACGATGGCCCCAAAAAATCTGACTCAGTTGTCAATATGTGCAAATGCTCGTCATTGTTTAGCGTCCGTCCATTCTTCAGCTCCGCTTGTTTTGGTGTCACTTGGCTCTCTGTCAGTGTGGCCGAGGATTTCATTCCTCACAGTCCGGCCTTCATGTGATCGCTGTCTGAGCATAGCTGTATATGTGTGTGTGTGGGTTTATTTTTGTGGATGCACAGAGGAAAGCCCGTGTGTGTGTGTGTGTGTGTGTGTGTGTGAAGTGTCAGTGTGGATGGCGTGCCTGTTTGGGTGTGTTGGTCGTATCTGATGTCCCACAGGTCACAGGGAACACATAACACACATTCACTGCTGCTCCCCGGTCACTGAGGTAGAAAAAGTAAGTTGGATGCATTTAACATTTATTGTTAAATATTACTGTGCATCAGTTTGACTGTTGAAAGTTTTGGTCATGATGATTATAAAGAAATACAAACCAGAATTGATTTTTTTTAGAGATTTGTATTATCTCTAATATATCACAAATGTGAATCAATAATCCTAATCCATAAAGTTTTTTTTTCCAGTTGTGCTGCTCTGTTGTGTTAACTGTCCTTATATAGTTGTGAATACTCAACTTCCCAAACTTTGTTTACACCGTCACATGATGTCATTAAATCTACAATAATCTACAATAATTGGTGGTGCAGTCTTGCACCTTACACCAGCTTCCAGTTGACAGACAGACAGACAGATGGACAGCAGCAGGTGGAGAAGGTGGCACAGAATGAAGGAATGGAGGCGTGGCAAAGAAGGCAGAGGAAGAGTGGGAAAAGACGGAGGAGGAGTAGGAGGAGGAGGAGGAGGAGGAGGTTTAGGAGAAGATTTGAAATGCCTTACAGCCCAGTCTTATTATAGATCAGTTATGTCTGCTGGCCTGCACAGACCTGCTCCTGTCAACACAGACCTCCACCTCCTGTAGATGTAGCTAAAGAGCAGAGACCGTTAAGAAGGAACCTCCATCATCTTCTACTAACTCACAAAATAAATCAATAATTTCCTGCATGGTTGGGCAGAAATCTGTAGAAACCACTTAAAATGTTATTTTGAGCCCATTTATGGATTGCGTAGGATGCAATTCTACAATATCAAAGGCAGGGGGCAGAATCATTTTTGCTAAGTTTCAACATCATTTTAAAATGTGCACATGCAGAAGAAGAAGAAGATCTGAGGCCTCTCTCTGTCAACGGTCCCTGACTGATGGACACAGACTGAATGAGTGATGACACTGGAGCATGTCTGTCACGTTAACCAACATCTTACTCCATCTTTTCAACAATATCACAGTAATGCAGCCGACAGTCCACTGTGCTCCAACATGACAGGCAGCTGAGGACACAAAACATTCATCCCATTAGATCCTCTTCTTTGACACGAGGGCCAGTTCTCCACCTAAATAGGTGATTATCCTCGTACACACAGTAAGACAAGAGTTCAAACAGACGGAGGGATCAGCTCATGACCTTGGCTTCATCACCAGACCAGAGGAGAGAAACTGTTTCTATACCAGACACTAGACACAAATGGAATTCACATACACCAACAAAGACATCAACAGTTATTTGGAAGTCAATAATCTGTTTTATGTTATAATTCAAATGATGAACATTAATTAAAAAAACATTGATCAACTGATCCCATAAATTTTGAAATACAAGGAGGTGACTGATGGTCTGTCTATATAGGGTTTGCGTGTACTATTTGCATACTATACTAATAGTAGTACTACCCTTCTGTTCACAAGTGCTTTCTACTTCTTTCTACGACCCTCGGTGTGTTAGCAGTGCAGGTGGACATACAGATGGATGGGACAGACAGCAGGAGTCTTTAACCCCCACGTCTAGGCTGTGCAGCCGCTGTGACCAAAAGTCCAAACCCTTCAGATCAGACAGATACGGCCCAGCACGTCTCTGAGACATCAGATGGTCAAAACAAGACCCACCCGAAGGCGTCAGACTTTCAACAGGAAACACCTCCATGCAAACAGGAAACAGTGATGTTTAGACAAGATAAAATTGGCACAAGGTCAGGAACACACACATACAAACACACAAGAAGCAGGTTATTTTGGTCAAGAAAGAGCCACTGATATTTAGAGCTATAGATAATCTTTGAAAATAAAATTTCATAAACAATGGTCAAAAATTTGTCATCCAAATCTCCTAATCCTCTTGGTTACCCCTGCATACCGCAACATCTACTCCTGACCCTGCTTTCTACTATAATCTGAAACCCCACCCATGTACAGTACACCACCCACACTTATCGCCAGGAAACTGCTCTGATAATACATCATTTAATTTCTGACATGACACACACACACACACACACACACACACAGGCTGGTTTTCACAGACTGCGAGGACTTCACAAAGAAAGTTTCCTAACCACTTGGCCAAACCTTAACCACCACACGTGCACTGTATGTCTGATCTTTATCCTCACCCTAACCCAGACTGGGCCCTCATTCTAATCCTAACTCCAAACTCAATCTCAAACTACAAAATTCACAGGTGAGGATCTACAAGAATGAAGGATCCACAAAACAAACCATTTTACCAAACTATATCCCAATGATTATTGAGTTTAGTTAACAATCCTAGACCACACGCACACACATACAAACACACACAGCAACACATTGCACTAAAATAAAACTTATTTTGAATTCTCAGAGCATCCACAATAACAAAATGCCAGGGGAGTCTGACACCTAAGACTTTATTTGTAGCATCAGACTCTGTCCTGTGATCCATGTGACAATTTGTGCAGACAGATTAAATAAAGTTCAGTTACTGGAACAAACAAATAAAGACTGCCAGTACAGCAATGTATTAGAGCTGTGACTACACAAAGCCTAAAAGACTGCATTTTCAGTTGGAAACGGTGGTTTTAGCCAGTTTTATGTCCATATAACTTACTGACGATCAAGAGCTTCATGTGAATATAGGTCAAACTTCTACAGTTTCCCGCTGTACTCACTCTGCTCCCACAGTTTCGCTGTTTGTCTATAATTAACTGAATGAATGAATGTGTTCATTCAGTAACTTCAGGAAGAACGATGGAGGCAGAGGAGGATGTCAGCCAAAAGAAAGTACAAAATCGAAATAAGCCTTATAGTATTGGTAACATATTTATGATATAAAATATATCAGAGGAGGAAATGTGACTATATATTTACACAGCCTTTAGTCTGGGGGACCAAACCTGCACCACACCCAGAGTTGATTTTATTAGCATGTGCATACACTTGCACATATTTAGACTGTGTCGCCAAAGCAGGCGGCAACACGAGTGCAGTAAAAACACAGTTACGTTTGCATGAAGCTGAACCAGTGTGGTATCAGGTAAAGTCAGAAAAAATCTGTATTATAAGTTCATCTTACATCCCACTGTTCATGGGTTCGTTAGCTGTCTTCCCTTCATGTCATTGTAAGTGAAACACATCCATAAATAACTACAACTGTAAACCATACATTTGTCGATAACCAATAAACAAAGTAAAAATAAGTCTTATACCACAGCTGCCTACCTACAGACACTCCAGCTCTTCAGGCCTCTGCAATTAAAACCTGCAACAGTAAGTAACTCAGCCCATTTCTTATACAGAGTCTACTTAACTGTGCATGTAAACACACTGACAGTTTGGTCTGTATCAACCAAACGTCTTCATCATAATGATCGGACACCGGAGTCCCAGGTTTGTCAACATTTACCCCAGAACTCTTCAAAAGTTGCTGAACTTCATTATGTAACTGTGTGTCCCACATGTGTTGGCGTGTTTATCAGTCTCTGTGCCCGCTTTGGACCAGCACTCACATACCAGGCTCTGAGGTGGAGCAGGGGCGGGGGGCCAAAGAGATCCTATGACCATGGCATTGCAGCTGTCGCTGCTGTGTAACATTGAGACAGGGACTATTTGAACTACTACCACACGCATCAAGACATCGTAGCACACACGCCGACCTGAGCCAAAAACACTGAGGAAAAACTGTTGCGCTGGAAGTTTACCAAAAGAGTTTTGAAAGACAATTGAACCTAAAAGTAAATTCACTCTTATTTGAAAGAAAATTTTAAAAATAACTGCAGAAAGAGGAGAAGCGTGAAATCACTGACACTGATTTGACAACAAATATAGTGATAAATGTCTGGCATGAATGCTGTTATCTACATTTTGAGGCTTCGTGTATCTGCACGCCCCTGGTTTAAAATAAATGTTAAGAATGATATTTGACAAAACCGGGCTATAAATGTGGAGTTACTTGGACATGTCACACTGAATACTCCAGTGTTTGTTGGCAACAACAGTCCTGCAGGAATACACACAGGCGGCAGCTGTCCTACTATAACTGTCGTTGCATTTAAACAGCATGCTATTGTTGTGCTCTCCATAGTCAGCAGTGGGAAGTCTGCAGGCTTCCACATGAACTATTCCTCGGCAGCTGTTAAAGGCAGGAAACAAATGGCCGTTTTGGAAAATGTGAAACTAAAATTTGTTTTAGTTAAACACGCAACAGAAAGATGCAAATCTCCTATCTCTCTCTTTGCCTTTGATCCAAAACATCCCATAACAGACTACCAACAGTTTAACACCACGACCTTATTAACACACATCTATCCTACCTTTGAATCTCAGCCTCAGCCAGTCTCCTCCAGTGGTTCAAAGGTGACAGAGTCTCAATCACAGTCTCTCCCACTTATGTGACCCCCCCACCCCTCTCTCTCTCTCTCTCTCTCTCTCTACTTTCTGTTCCTGCTCTCCTTCTGTCTTTCACTTGTTGATTTGTCGTTGGTATTTTTTAAAGACTGAGTCTAACGCTCTGTCTGCAGCCTGCGCCCTTCTTGCCACACGCCAGCCTGTTGCTCCCCTCACTGACACTTCAGGTCAGGCTCAGGCCCATGGCATTTCTGGAAGTGATGCATCCATCTGCTGGATTGGCCACAGAGGCAGATAGAATGCCCCATATTAGGGCAGCAAGAGGTGGGGCTGCACCACAATAATAAAGGAGGGAGGAGAAAAAGATAACAAAGTTTATGTCATAGTGGACTGTTTGTGTGGAACAAAAGAGTGAGGCCATTGGTTGATTTCCTGTCTGCTGTTTTTACAATGTCAGACTTGTTATAGATTTTGAATATCCTTATTTGATTAGTCAATTATGGGATGCTGTTGTTGCATGGGCAGATTATTGAAAAATATACTCTAGATATGGTTTGTTTTAGACATGATATGTTACTTCAATAAAGTATTCAACAACTAGTATTAAATATCAATATATAATATTCATACAAACTCAAAGCTTTAAGGCAAGATAAATACTATCACTTTCACAATTATCTAAGTTTGTTGTAGGATTTTTCTCAAAAAGTTATTTTTATCCCTGATGTCTAAAAATAGAGAGAGCTGAACTGGATCTTGTTTAAGAGAAAGTTATGACTCTTCCTTTCAAGGGAACAGCTGCTGTTACCAGCCAAATGATGCATGTGTGTGTGTGTGTGTGTGTGTGTGTGTGGTGGAATGTGTGCCTTTGCTGTGTGTTTATGTGTGCGTGTGTATTATCAGTATTAAAGAACTCAATCACATCAACTCCTAAACTCAGAATGGTGACCAACGACAATAATAAACAAACACACTGAGACACAAACAACAACAGGTTTTGTTTTTTTTCTTACACCTTTCTCTTATAAATAGACAATAAAACTAATTTTAACTTTTATCCTAGTTCTAATCTGACAAATCCCAACTTAAACTAAAACATAAACCTCACAATAGCTGTCCCCACAAGTATAGCTATACCAGTTAGACACACATGCATAAAAACTATAAAGTCAGTGAAAACACTCTCCAGTAAAACAATGCAGACTTCCTCCCTTTGGCATTTTGCTCCACTGCTACTGAATGACCTCCCTGACCTCAAGCTATTAATGGAAGTAAATATAAGAGGTGAAGTCCTCCAATTGTCACAGTAAGTGTTGGTATCCTTTTTGAGTCATATATAAATAATAACACTAAAAGTCTGTAAAAAAAATAATAAAAAAGATCTTGTTTTAAAACCTTTTTCACTTTAGTGAGATTTTAAGTTTATTGATGCACATTGTTTTAGTTTGTTGTATTTGCAGCTTTATCTTACAGGGGGTTGATAACTGCACAGTTAGTTTTAAAAGCTGTAAAAAAGTAAAGAAAAGAAGAATGATCACTTTCTTCTGCTTTCTTTTGTTATGTTGGTTCATTAGTGAATAAGCAACATGTTTTTCAGGGCTTTAGCCTGGCTATGAGAGGGCAGATGTGATGCCCTCTATGGCTCTATGGCTTCAATGGACGATTATGGCACTTTATTAACGCACCATTAAACAAAAATGTCCCAAAACTTATTGGTAATGAAACATAATGATCTTCTAGTTTCGATTTCCTCACAACTGACTTCAGTGTGAAACCTTAAAACCCTGACACATCACGGGAATTTAACAAAGATGGTCTCTCTCTATTATAGCGTCACTGCCATTTGCTGCCCCCTAATGGTAGAATAGTTAATTGTTCTGCGTGTGAAGGGTGCGTTGAAAAATGAAAACAAATGTGGACCAATTAAGAGAATTTAGATAATTATCCACGTCGCAGTAACGGTTGTAAATCACCATAGTAGACACTTTAGCATTGATTATGCTAGCATTAATTTTTTTGTTTTAATTATAAAATAAATCAAAAACAAGCATTCAATGAACATGGGAAAATTCACCACAGGTTGTACCTTTGCCACAAGATCATTCAAAATGTAACTGAAAGTATCAAGCCTAGGAACACACTTTAAACTTCCCAGCATCGTGTGTTGCTGAACCACAGCCTGACTTTGATTTTTGGTTAGCAATAAAGGACTAACCAATAAACTGCCCAACAAAATGTCGTGTACATCATCCTGACCTGTACTGGAGGAAGATGTCCAGGTTACTCTGAAGATTTTACGCAGACACTCACACATAGTGAAAGGCAAGAGAGGAGACAGAAGGAAGGACCCCCACACCCGGCCGAGGGGCTGTGGGACACGGGCAGCAGAGCTGAGCGGCAGGTGGAAATTGAAGGCAATCCAGGAGTTGGTCTAGAATGCGTGGTCCCCAAAGACCATTGAGTTGCACTGTCACAGTGTGGGTCATACAGAAGGAAAGAGGGAGGGAGAGTGAGAGAGAGAGAGAGAGAGAGAGAGAGAGAGAAGGGAGAGGGAGAGAGATGGATGGATGATGGGTGGATGGATGGATGGATGGATGTGTTGAAGAAAAACCAGATAAGAAGTGTTAATGTAAGACTTCATGTCATCAATGTGAGAGTTGTGGACCTATATTAGTGTTTTTGTGTGTTTATGTAAGTGTGAGTGTAAATGTCTATGTGTTTCTGTGTGTGTGTGAGAGAGAGAGATAGATAAATAGAGAGAGAGAGAGGCGCAGCAGGGCGACAGCAGAGAAAGGACAGAATAGAGGTGTATTACCACTTGTGGACAGTCAGCAGTTTGCTGTGACCCTGTGTAAAGCCCTGCTCTATTGTCTGTGTTGGTGGAGGCTTTAACTGTGGCCCAGTGGGGCCTTGTTTCTGGGCTTAGGGCTACTGAACTCTGGATATGAGTCAGACGCAGCCTAATGTTGATAAGAAGAACACATCCTGTGGTTCTTTTATCTCAGACAAATCAGAACATCGATTTATAGACTCAGTACAAAAGAAATGACTGTTTCCTACAAGTCCTATTGTGTCCTATAGTTTACCTTCTATTAGTTTTAGTCTTTTCTCTTGCTTTCTAATGTTACAACAATGATCGTAAACATGTCACCATTAGGGGTTTCAAACAAAAAAAAGGGAAAGTGTAAAAAAAAAAAAAAAAATCCAAAACATTTCTTAACCCCCTAATTCAGGATTACAAAAAAATATTTGATTGTTGTTGCCAACATTAACATTGTTGCCAAAATTGACCCTGTAACAGACTTATGGGCAGGCTTATGGCACAAAAACCAACAACACTAGATATTATTAATGTAATGAAAGGGCCTCATAGGTGTGGAGTGGTTTGTGCTTTTAACTTACAGCAAGAAGGTCGCCAGTTCACTGCTTCGATCACAGGGCTATCCGTGTGAGGTTTGCATGTTTTCCCTGTATATGCTTGGGCTTTCTTCCAGATTTCTTCCAGATCTTCCAGATGGATCCAGGATCCTTAGTGATCCTACAAAGGAGAAGATGGATGAATGAATCAGCATTAGCCTGTCCAACTTCTCACTGAGAGATAGGTAGAGTAACTTCAGAATATTGAGGTTGACCTGCTTCAGTAGTGTGGGTATTAAACGATACTGGAAAATTGTGGGGAAAAAAAGGTCTTTATGTATTTTAATCACGCGCTACATTTCACTCTGACCAAAACTGACTTTGCTA